AATCTAGCTTGCGCTCACTGTTGTAAACGGAAGCAGTTCCGGGCAGATGACGTATGAGGTCGGCTTTGCGCATGCGCCGCTCAGAAGTGACGCACGCGGAAACGCAGCGGAGAGATAAAAACAAAACAACGTTATGTTATTATGTTTTGAATATGGATATTTTTCTTACAAAAACGCATCGATTCGCTACAGGAGGCTTTTGTTCACCCCCCGGAGCCGTGTGAGACAATTTTGTTTTATGGATGGGGGATTTTTATTTAAGTTCTTTTGGACTGAAGCAATGCAACACCCGCTGAGTGCCATGAAACGGCATGAAAGATCAAAGACAATTTTTAATATAACTCCGACTGGATTTGTCTGAAAGAAGAAAGTCATATACACCTAGGATGCCTCGGGGATGAGTAAAACGCAGCCTAATTTTCATTTTTGGGTGAACTAACCCTTTAATTGTGCTCATATTGTCTGTATAATGACCACGACAGGGTTTAAGCTCCTCTTAGAGGTGTTCAGTGTGATCCACGGGCCGCAGGATGAGTGTGTGAAGGCCCTGCGGAACGGCCACCTCCTGGGCATCTCTCCTGGAGGAGTTCGGGAGGCCCTGTTCAGCGACGAGACATACCCTCTGCTCTGGGGCAAACGCAAAGGATTTGCACAAGTGGCCATTGACTCTAAAGTGGTAAGTGACTGTCCCTCTTCTTCTGCTCCTTTCATACAAACCGGTTTTATTGTACTAAGAGTTTGTTTTGTCCCTATAGCCAGTTATACCCATGTTTACTCAAAACCTGAGGGAGGGATTTCGCTCTCTTGGAACATTAAGTGAGTCATGGACAAAAAAACTGAACTTTCACACAGTTGTAAATAGCAATCTGAATAGATCATGAAAGAGCTCAATGATTCAATCTTTAATTCATCTCGAAATTCATTCAGGATTTTACCGCTGGGTGTATGAGAGATTTCGCCTACCGATAGCACCCATTTATGGAGGATTTCCAGTCAAGTTTCGCACCTACTTGGGTGACCCCATTCCATACGACCCCAAACTCAATGCAGCTGAGTTAGCTGAAAAGGTAGGACTCCGTAAGTTTTGTTTTTATAACTCTGTAGTCCTGTAAAGGGCTGACTCTTTGTTCATTTGCTGAGCTGGTGTTTTGCAAATTAAAAAAAAAAAAATACAAGAGGGTTTAACCTCTACAACGTCCCGACAAGTCCTGACCTACTGTTGACTACACAACATACTCTAGCACCATTTGTTTACACCGTCCCCTAAGGGAACGTTCCACCCAAGAGTGGTGATCGCCATTCATCATATATGCAGGTGTACACAGTGAGAGAATGCTTGTATAATAAAGGACACCCCAAATTGGTATCTATGAATGAATCATTTCTGGTGTACAAGGTTTTTTAGTAACATTTATTTCATAAGAACAGTAGCCACATCTCATCCCATTCTACCACCAGAGAATAACAACCTTCTTTAAAACTTTTTGTTTTGTTTTCAGAATGGATGTGGGAGACCTGATGTAGGTCTTTAAACTTTTATAGTCAACATTTCTACCTTTTTATCGTGAGAAGCTGAATTCAGTGTCTCATGGCCCTTCAGAAATCATATTAATATGCTGATCTGATGCTCAACTGACATTTATTATTTCCAACGTTTAAAACTATATATGTGACCATGGACCACAAAACCAGTCTTAAGTCGCTGGGGTATATTTGTAGCAATAGCCAAAAATACATTGTATGGGTCAAAATTATAAATTTTTCTTTTATGCCAAAAATCATTAGGATATTAAGTAAAGATCATGTTCCATGAAGATATTTTGTAAATTTCCTACCGTAAATATATCAACTTAATTTTTGATTAGTAATATGCATTGCTAAGAACTTTTCGATTTTCTCGATTTTCTCAATATTTAGATTTTTTGCACCCTCAGATTTCAGATTTTCAAATAGTTGTATCTCGGCCAAATATTGTCCTATCATAACAAACCATACATCAATGGAAAGCTTATTTATTCAGCTTTCAGATGATGTATAAATCTCAATATCGCAAAATTTACACTTAAGACTGGTTTTGTGATCCAGGGTCACATATATTATTAATTCAAGCTAGATTTAAAGCCATTGCTAAAAATCACAAGCCCCTGGACATTTTTATTATTATTTTTAATAAACGTGGGCTCTGTCTTACATGTGCCTAATGAATAGAATTATGGCCCATGTGCAGAACAGTGTCAGCAAATGTATTTATTTATTTAGTCATTTAGCAGACGCTTTTATCCAAAGCGACTTACAAATGAGGACAATAAAAGCAGTCAAAACTAACAAAAGAGCAACAATATATAAGTGCAAATGACAAGTCTCGGTTAGCCTAACGCAGTACACGTAGTAAGGTGTATACAAATACACCTAGCGCACTGTAAGTAGACAGTGAAGATGTCATATGTTCAATTCATGCCTCTGTTGAGTCAGGATTTGTCATATTTAGTGTATTTTCTTCAATCGAACCCATCTGTTCAGGTGCAAGAGGCAGTTCAAGCACTTATCGACAAACACCAGAAGATACCTGGAAACATCCTCCGAGCTCTTCTAGAGCGATTCCAAAGGGAACGCAAAGAAGATTAGCACACTTGCCTTTTCTCAGACTGAACAAATAAATATGCTTCAAGCATAATTCAACTGAATACTAGAGATTTTATAATATTGTTATATCATAAGATTAGCAACTATGTTACTGACACTCTAATGGAAGTATCAGCATATACTGCAGTGTTGCATATCAAATAATGGTGCGTGTCTTTGTAACATCTGGTTACGTGTAGTTTTGTGCATTTCAAAGAGTGTGTGTTTGTTTTTTTAATTTACAACTTATTTGCACACTTTGATTTTATTCAAAGGACCACTGCCAAAATAGTTTCCACAAAGCCTTTGGTTAGTTTTTCTTTCTTTCTTTCCTTTTAAAAATATAACATTCTGTCCTGGAAATCGAAAATATTTATCTACCTGAAGGAATATTGTGCATACTGTGATTTTTGGGATTTTGTAAGCACACTTAATAATGATGAGATATATATGCTTGAACATTTGTTGTTTGATGTTGAATATTTACAGTTTTAGTCTAACATCTCTGTATTAACTTTCAGAGGTCAACTGCTGTCTATTTAAGCATCAGTTGATATTGGTTTGTCCCGCTCTCAGAGCTTATCATAATATTCTGATTATTAAAAAAAAAAAAGTATGCAATTACTAATGATGTTATTCAGGCAACAACGCATACAGGTTTTTCAGAATGCATTAAGATTTTGTAACATTCCTGAAATGTATTGATTTACTACTTCATTGCATAAAGGCTGTTGAATCTAATAAGTTGTGAAATTTGATTGGTGTGGAAATAATGGCTCTTAATGTATGATTTTATAAAAGATTTTGTTATTCACAATAAAACTGAATATTCCTCTGGATTCAGTGTTGGTAAAACAGTTTTAATGCACTCTTGTGCTTAGTAAACCACTCTCCCATGATCCTCTGGGAGACAATGTCTTGTGTGTGACAAAGATCACAAAGAAAATGTGAGCATGAGCGCAGTCTTTGTCACCCTGTCCTGTGATCTCTGTGCACATTCGGTGCGTTTGGTGTATGATATACAAATGCACCAGTGTTGCTATTTATAAATCTGTTTGGAATTAACTCACAGCATCTGTGCATCCATTGTAAATCCTCCCCCCCCCCCCCCCCCCCCACCCCAAAAATAAAAAATATTTTTTTGGAAGAAAATCTTTATTATTCATGATCTCTCGTTGCATTATACATGTGCTCCTAATTTTCTTTCAGCCTCTCCAAGAGTCTCTTCTAATTAAGGTGTAAAACCTTAAATCATACGAGGTGTGAGAATACATATTTAGACAAACTAATCACGAAGCCTTGCATTTGTGACAGACTGGTTCTGAAAAAGCGGCATTGCTCATCACCAGTGCTTTTTTTCCAACCTTGAAATAGTTAGACATTCTAAAAATTCAAATGCACTTTATTCACACATCAACTGCGAATCCGAAAGAAGATTGCAAGTAAGTCTAATAAAATGACCACAGTGTACTTTATTAAATGAATTTGGTACTTTGTGTTGCATTAGAATCAAATAAAAATTTACAAAAATCCAATATGTACAAAAATGTAACTTTCTTTTTGTTTTTACTCTTCAATTTACAATGAAATCAGATAACAGATTTGATGCATTTTACTCACTTCAGACTTTCATCACACGATACAACTGACTTAAGAGACCAATAATAAGTTTTTTGTTTTGTTTTGCTTTTTTATGTCATTTAATACATTACATACACCACACTAGTTTTTATCTGTATTATGTCATATGTAACTGCTGATCTCTAGTCAATAGACACCCTTCACGACCAGGACTCAGAAAGGAATGTTCTTTTACACATGTACATTTGCATACATTTATTTACAGTTAAATAGCCTTTTGCAAGTCACTATGGAACTTCCGTTTTAACTGAAATACCAGTAAAGTCTGTACATCACTTCTGAACGCTGAACTGAACACCACCGAGTTCATTCAATTACTGTGCTTGTACTAATATCGTGCTTTATAAATAACCACCGATTATCTTTTATCTAAATGTAAATTTATTTTCCCCCATCTATGGCATTCTAGTTTATCTAAGTATCTATGTCTACGTGTGAGGGAGTATCATCAATTTGTTTATTCAACAAAAGAAAGCTTCTCCGACGAATAATAATAATAAAAAAGTGCCACTGTTCATTTCAGCTCTCCGAGTCACTCGTGTTTGCTAACTGATTCAAAATGCTCACAATCTTGTAACAGCACGGCCCGTGACCCCTGACTGTCTGGGTCATCATTTTGATTGTTTGTCTGCATATGCAATTTCATTTCAGTCTGCTTTCTTTGTGTCCGCTTGCAGTATAAGCACAGTAAGTACGCTAATCAATAATGCAACGTCGTCATACTAGCATGACAGCAACCGGAGCATCATGTGCATGACTAAAACTAAACCAAAAGAAACGAACAGAAAATGCCACTTACGAATAATGAATCCGCAAAAAAGGCGAGTGTCATTTAAGGCAAATAAAACAGAATCGGCTTGCATGAATTGAATGTTCTCCTGCTGTGAACTGTTGTAAAATAAGTCCTGCTTTTGAACTCCGGTTGTAAACAGAGCAGCCTCCAACTCCTCCGCTCATCCACGGGGACGCCATCTCAATAAATTCCTTCATATCAGCCACACCAACGACTAGAGCTGGAGAGTGGTCTGTTTAATAAAATACCGCTTTGAGGTAGGTTACAGGTATGAATTAAGTTTTTCCAGAGCGAAGAAATGGTTGACTATATCTCTAGGTTTATTGATAAAACCCAGAAAAATAGAACTATACGTGCAAAACAAAGTTACATAGTTTAGCTGTAAGTTAACGTTATGATTAGCTTAAATGTTTTCACTGTTGGTCTTCCGTCACCACCATGTTAAGACGTAGGACTACGTACGCAATTCTGTCCTCGTAATTTTTAATCAAAATGTCATACTTTTAACTGATCTAACTGATCAGACTTCTTTCTTGTGACCTATGCAGGACCCCTCCAATCATTTTGACTTTAATAGTATTACATTAATAATCTGGCATGTGTGGGGAATATGCCATCAAAACAGGCTATTCAGCATCTCCAAACGTCAGCACAGCCTTTTTGTGTAAAGACCTTGATTCATTCTGCATGTTCTGAACGCATCGCATTGCATTGAGTGTTTTAAATTCATGTCATATTTCAACATTAAAAAATTGAGGCCTCGCAATAGATAAATGGCTGAATAAAGAATGTCACCAAAACTCACTGACAGCCAGTGTTGTAGGATGTTCCTCTTAATCAAATGAACCAAATCGCAGTGTGCTTGGGGTATCCCTGAAACAAAAATACCATGGTATTTATGGGAAAGCTAAAAAAATGTAGGATGCTTTTGAAAATGATGGATATGTAATATCGCAGATGTGTGCGATACATCACTCGTCTTCCTTCAAAAATGGTCTTGCGTAGGTGGTGCAGCAATTTAAATCTGAAAATTGACTAATTAGTGTGCTAACACTAGTTTTTTGTGCTCTGACTACAGGGGACTCTTTTAGAGGGCTGTTTGGAAAATTTTGCCAAGAGACAAAGTATCATCATCATCCATCACACAGAGAAATGAAAGTATAAGACACGCTGGGGAAAAAATGCTGACGAGATAGGAAAGTAACAAAATAGCTAAAATATACAGGTTTACATTTCACTGTGGTACTGGTTATAGATTTGTATGATCTCATCTAAATCTTTTTTTTTGTGTTCTATTTTCTTTTTTTTTTTTGCAACACAATTAGGATCTTCATCTGCAAGTGTGCAGATCGCTGCAGGCTAAAACAACTATGTTTTCAGTTAATTTGCCACCGATTGTAGGACGTTACAACACCTCAGGAGTGTTTCAAAACTACAATAAAACCCAAATTACAGTTCAGATATGACCAACTGAAGCAAAACGAATCTAACTGTCCTATATCAGTCATCTCCACACAGTTAAATGGCATTAAGCAAAATAATGTGCAACTTAAGATCAACCATTTTGTAAGACACATGTTTAAAATTCCATCAAAAACCAAAAAAAAAAAAGAAAACCAAAGAAAATGGAGCATAAAAAATTTTTACACATAAAACATTTTTCCCACATTTTCAAAATCGCAAACTATCCACAACAGGCACATCTAGCTTCTGTCGCAGTAAAATTTCACCTTGTCTCTCGACGCAAGTGTAACAACAACCGAAGAAATCCTTCATTGTGCTGAGACTCCTTCCTGTGACAAGTTTTGTGCTTGTTTTCTATTTCTTTTTTATTTTTCTGCCCTCACTTCCATGTCTCCATAAATGCCTTAGAATATTCGAACATAAAGACACAAAGAAGCACTTGTAACTGAACGGAAAATTTAAATCTCCCAACACTTTCATATATAAAGGATGCTCTTGGCTGATTTAAAGATACAGTGCTCTTTTAGGCCGATGTGATTTGTTGAACCATAGGGCCCGGAACGTCATTCGGAGCACATTAGCAAGTCTGCACTCTGTCGCAGACTACTTATCCCTGACACTGATTTGTAGATTGTGAGTTGGCAATTGAAGTGTCTCATGGAGAGAGTCTTGACTGCACTGCAGAGTTTGGAATAGTACACTTCGCCAGCTTTCCGGATGTGTTAAGATGCTGAAAAGTGACCCTGTTTATTGTCTATACGTGGCCTTTAACTCATTTTACTGCACCAATACAGCACACAAAACACAGACACACCAAATCCTGACCCAGCCCAGAAGAACACTGTATCTTTAACCTAGAAGATGAAGCGCATCCAGGTTCTGTCGGGTACAGTTTGGCGGACATTGTGTGAACTGTGATGGTCTTTGCCCCCCACTCTGCTGTGAACCAAACGGATCCTTGTCAGCCCACAGGAGTGAGGTGAATGAGGCCGGATCGCCAAAGGGAGCTGCCAGGAAGTGTTTTCTTGGCCTACTGTCTTCTCCTGAAGAAGAAAACGAGTGTGTGTTCTCCCAGTTTTGTCATCCCAAGTGTCTTGGACTCCTGTGATGATCGCATACTTTTTTTCTCATCTTTTTTCTTTGTACAGGATTCAAGTAGATGGTTGAAATGCTGCCCTGTTTATATATACAGTATGTGGTCGAGCCACAGTTCAGCGTGTTCAGTCAGTGTGAGTGGAGCGTTTGGCACTGGTACAGAACTGCTGATGAAACACTACTAATAGGTTACAGCACCCTAAACAAGGACGTCTCGAGTCTAATCAGCCATTTTTTTTTTATTTGTGTACCATCAACGTGATATTTGGACCACTGTTTCTCCAGTGCGGTGGGTAGTCTGTTTGTTTAAATGCCGTTTGTGTGCACTGGATGCTTGGTTTCAAAGGGAAAGGCCTTTGTTTTGCATTTGCTGCAAGAGACAAGCTATAAAGTGTTCTGGATGTCCTCTTGCAGTTTGGAGACGTTGGCTC